AAGACGACGGCGGATCCCTGTTGACCAGCTGGCGATTGGCTTTACTTGAACATTCATGTTTTGAGCCAATCTGCTTCGATTCCGGCCAAAAAGTGCTAAGCTTTCATCCGTCACATGACCAACATCATCAGAGCATCGAGGCTATCATCGTCGCAAGCAAATTCAAGCTGACGAGTCAAGAAAACTCACCGAAAAATCCCTAAAATGTGCCATCCACACTCTCCATCTGGCCTCTTCTAATCAAGTGTAAAGTGATTCGGTTAGCTCCAGTCACATGTCAATCTCGAAGCGTGTGAGTGTGTCCGTCTGTGCATGTGTATATGCCTGTATGTGTTGGCGTGTGCACGAAGCCAGCAGCGATGGGTGAAAGTAATGAGGAGAGCAAAAGTAAAGTGCGTTGATGAGCAGCATCTCTTCATTTCTACCCAAATGTTACAACCTTCACTCCGATTGGGCAAGGTCGGAGGCACGTCTGGTTGTGTTGATGAGCGTGTACCAAACGAGACATCATCGAATGGCCGAGCAGGGCATGGCGTTTCCATTTGTCAGTCGACTTCGAGGCTGCCATGTCGCACTATTTCCTTTGACAGATTGAATGGGTCTCAGTTTGTCTATGCATAATTGCAATATCGCATAGAAATGTGTTTGCTCAGCAATCCCAGCAGAGAAATGCAAAACCGGCAAGACGTCGCCTTCGTTGGCATTCACTTCTGGCCAATGCTCGTGGCGAGACGATGCGCTGCGCCAGCACAAGCTGGGCCCGAGTCCCGTCGAGGCGCTGATGAGACGGATTGTGGGAAAAGGCTGTTATTGCCAATCGTGCATAGTCTTAAATGAGTGCAGAGTGAAGACGTCTCTCGTCAGACCGGCAATGCCGCATGAAGGTGATAGGTTTTGTTTAGTGAGTAGACGTGAGTAGGCTTGTGGCCAGCCGCCGCCTTTTTCGTGGTCCACCAAATTGGTGCACCTTCTCGTCAATGCTGCTGTCCCACTTCGAAGCTGTTCGTCTCGGCAGAAATGACCACAGTCCAGCCAGACAGCCTGAATTGGAGTGGCGCGACAATTGGTCAGGCAAGCCAACTAACTCACTTTGCCGCACTGCATGCCATTGTCGGTCGGTTTCTGGTGCGACCAGTTCATCAATCTCGTCCAAGCGACAGTCCCTTTGAGATGAAAAGTCGAGT